TAAACTAACGTGCTGTCTTCACTGTATCTAACGCACACAAGGCTGATTTACTCGATGCGTCCGCAAGTTCGCTTGGCTGTGTGCGGCAGGACTTTCTGTGCAGCTCCGCTTCCGAAGATGCACGAGTTCAAAGCGACTCTAGCCGAACATGCACGTCTGTGCCAGCATTTGTGTGAAACACAAGCAGTTTGATGTTAAGTGCAGTCACACACACAGATCACGTTGCGGCCGCACTCTAAACCTTTTTCAACAAGGAGCTGGTAACATCATTGTTTCTAAAGGAATTAAAGCCACAGCTTTACTGTTAATAGAGAAACGTGGCAAAAATGGTGGTAATTCATACATACCTCTCTCGCTCATAAATGAACAGTTGATGAATTACACTTTTCTGAGAATAGAATATTGAAGTGGAGATCGGTAAACTGCAAGCTAAGCGGTGTTTTCAGAAAGCAAGCGCGTTTATCCAGAGTGGAAAGAGCGCGTGTGCACATGGTTGCCAGGTTGACAAAGATAAGTAGTACACCTAGCAGATATTTCCGTATTGCGCAAGTGTAAAGCTCTGTTTTGGGGATTACGTCTCTTTATATCAGGCAACCCAGCTGTGTTCCTCTGCGGCCAGATTAAACCTTGTTGTCGCCTATATTTGCTCTATTCATTCTTTTTTAGAAACCTCGCACTTTTCTACTCAATTTTAAACGTAAAATTTTAAACAAATGAAGCGTGGTCCACTGCTGCACACAGGGCCAGCTGTATCGATACTCGTATCGTCAAATCTCTGTAACAATACATCGTCGTATCGATATTTTGAACAGCACTAGTGAGCACTGAAGATGACACGATTATTGTGATGCACCGCAAACAATGATATACAGGTGCATCTCAATAAATTAGAATGTCGTGGAAAAGTTCATTTATTTCAGTAATTCAACTCAAATTGTGAAACTCGTGTATTAAATAAATTCTATGCACACAGACTGAAGTAGTTTAAGTCTTTGGTTCTTTTAATTGTGATGATTTTGGCTCACATTTAACAAAATCCCACCAATTCACTATCTCAACTAATTAGAATATGGTGACATGCCAATCAGCTAATCAACTCAAAACACCTGCAAAGGTTTCCTGAGCCTTCAAAGGGGTCTCTCAGTTTGGTTCACTAGGCTACACAATCATGGGGAACACTGCTGATCTGACAGTTGTCCAGAAAACAATCATTGACACCCTTCACAAGGAGGGTAAGCCACAAACATTCATTGCCAAAGAAGCTGGCTGTTCACAGAGTGCTGTATCCAAGCATGTTAACAAAGTTGAGTGGAAGGAAAAAGTGTGGAAGAAAAAGATGCACAACCAACCGAGAGAACCGTAACCTTATGAGGATTGTCAAGCAAAATCGATTCAAGAATTTGAGTGAACTTCACAAGGACTGAGGCTGGGGTCAAGGCGTCAAGAGCAACCACACACAAATGTGTCAAGGAATTTGGCTACAGTTGTCGTATTCCTCTTGTTAAGCCACTCCTGAACCACAGACAATGCACGAGTTCAAAGCGACTCTAGCCGAACATGCACGTCTGTGCCAGCATTTGTGTGAAACACAAGCAGTTTGATGTTAAGTGCAGTCACACACACAGATCACGTTGCGGCCGCACTCTAAACCTTTTTCAACAAGGAGCTGGTAACATCATTGTTTCTAAAGGAATTAAAGCCACAGCTTTACTGTTAATAGAGAAACGTGGCAAAAATGGTGGTAATTCATACATACCTCTCTCGCTCATAAATGAACAGTTGATGAATTACACTTTTCTGAGAATAGAATATTGAAGTGGAGATCGGTAAACTGCAAGCTAAGCGGTGTTTTCAGAAAGCAAGCGCGTTTATCCAGAGTGGAAAGAGCGCGTGTGCACATGGTTGCCAGGTTGACAAAGATAAGTAGTACACCTAGCAGATATTTCCGTATTGCGCAAGTGTAAAGCTCTGTTTTGGGGATTACGTCTCTTTATATCAGGCAACCCAGCTGTGTTCCTCTGCGGCCAGATTAAACCTTGTTGTCGCCTATATTTGCCCTATTCATTCTTTTTTAGAAACCTCGCACTTTTCTACTCAATTTTAAACGTAAAATTTTAAACAAATGAAGCGTGGTCCACTGCTGCACACAGGGCCAGCTGTATCGATACTCGTATCGTCAAATCTCTGTAACAATACATCGTCGTATCGATATTTTGAACAGCACTAGTGAGCACTGAAGATGACACGATTATTGTGATGCACCGCAAACAATGATATACAGGTGCATCTCAATAAATTAGAATGTCGTGGAAAAGTTCATTTATTTCAGTAATTCAACTCAAATTGTGAAACTCGTGTATTAAATAAATTCTATGCACACAGACTGAAGTAGTTTAAGTCTTTGGTTCTTTTAATTGTGATGATTTTGGCTCACATTTAACAAAATCCCACCAATTCACTATCTC